TTAAAAATTATATAGATAAAATGAAAATTTCTAAATAAGCACAATGTGCTAAATCTGCTACAAGAAGAAAGAGGAAATCTGAGTAATTCTATAATTTAAGGACTGAACCTGTAATTTAAAAACCTTCCCTCAAAGTTCCAATCTTACATAACTTTACTACTAAATTCTAAAAGGATGTAAAATAAAAAATAAAGCTAACCTTAAACATTTCTAGAAGAAAGTAACGATTACTTCCCAACTTATCCTTCATATCCTTCATATCACGATCTGACAAGGACAAAGCAAGAAGCAAAAGTTATACACCAATCTCTCTATGATGTAGATGAAAAAAGAAATCCTAGACAAAATATTTGCAAGCCAAATCTGGCACTATATAAAAAGGATTACATACCAATTTAGGTGATTCCAGGAAGGGTATAACATTTAAAAACCAATTCTTATGTTTCAATACAGTAACAGATTAAGAAACAGTAACAGTAAAAGAAAAATCATATAATAAATGGAAAAGGCATTTGATAAAATTTAATATTAATTCATAATAAAAATCCAAACAAACTCTGAGAACTTCCTTAATATAATAAAGGCCTTTCAATCCTGAAACAAACATCACACCTAACAGGAAAATATTGAAAGCTTAAAATAACAGATGCTATTATTGTCAGTTCCCAAGTGGTGATAACGCTGTAGTAGATTGGTAACACTGGAGCTGTAATACCTTCTAGAATGTTCTGGAGGTCCTAGCTTGTCCAATACGATTGAAAGAAAACATAAATGTTAAAAAGATAGGAAAGCAGAAAATAAAACTGTCAGTAATCTACAAATAACATTATCGTGTCTGCATGATATCCAAAATAATCTATAGATCAACCATTAGAATAAATAAATGAAATTACCATGTTTGCTAGATACAAGAACAATACACAAAAGATAAATTTTATTTCTATATGCCAGCAACAAACAGAATATAAAAATATAAAAACCATACTATTGCAGCAGCATCAGAAAACATTAATTTTCTAAAAATAGATCTAACAGAAAACATGTAAGATAACTACATAGAAAATTATACAACATTGTTGTGAGAAATTAGAGAAAAGCAAATGTAGGGATAGATCATGTTTATAGTTTAGAAGGCTCAAAAATGTAAAGATATCAATCTTTGCCAAATTTATCAATAGATATACCACAACCACTATGAAAAACCAAACTATTATTTTTTGTGAAATTTACACACTGATTCTAAAATTTATGTGAAATTTTATAATGCCACAAATAACAAGATAATGATCCACAGATAACAACCCAAAAGAGAACTAAGTGAGAAAAGTAATTTTACTGGGTATCGAGACTGACCTATAAATTCCATGCAATTCCAGTCGAGGTTCTCACAATGTTATTGCGAACGTTAATAAGCTGATTACAAAATATGTGTAACTGCAGTGTAATTAGAATAGCCAAGGCAACACTGAGGAAGAAGAAAAAGCTACAGGACTTAAACAAAACTGATAAGACTTACCTGACACCCTAATAATCAATACAAGATAAGAAATAAAATAATGGAACAGTACAGAGAGTTCAGAAACGGATCCACAGGCAAATAACAATTTGATTTAAATCAGAGTTGGCATGCAAAGCAATGGAGAAAAGATAAGTAAACTATAAATCCAAACAGAAAAAAAATAAAATTTGATTCTACCTATTATCACACATTTAAAAATCAATCAAAAAAGAGAAAACAATGAAAATTATAGATTACATAACAAAATATCTTGTCACCTGATGGTAGGACAAAAAGCACTAATCAAAGGAAAAATTAAGAAACTAGACTACAATTATGAAGGCTAGACTAAAATTAAGAAACTAGACTACAATTATGAAGACATCCCATTACAAGAACAAAAAGGCATGCCACAGCCTCTAGAAGAATATGTGCAACATATACATATAACTAACAATTACTCATATCCAGCTATATAAAGAACTACTACAAATCAATGAGAAATACACAAGACCAGAAACTAGCAAACTACACTGGGCCAAATCTGGTTCACTGCCCGTTTTTATAAATAAAATGTTATTGGAACGCAACCACACACATTTATTTCACTTACATCCTGCCTATAGCTGTTTTCACTCTACCCAAACAGAGTTGAGTAGTTGCAACAGAGGCCATCTGGCCCACAAGCCTAAAATATTCACTGCTTGGCTCTTTACAGAAAAAGTTTGGAAACCCCTGGACAGGGCAAATAAATATAAAAGCAGGCAAGATACTTTAGGAGGCACATAATTATACATATACATAAACATATACATATACATATACACATACATATACACATATACATGCATATCCAAAATGTAAAGGAGAAATATTAACTGAAGCCAAAATGCGATACGATTCCCCAGCTGTCCAAGCTAAAAAGACTGATCATATCCTGTGTTGTCAGATATCTGAAGCAAACTAACTCTTACACACTGCAGCTGTCGCAGTAAATTGGCACGATTGCTTTGACCATATTCCCTATGACCTAACCAGTTCACTCTTATGTAAATGTTTCACTGAAATGCATGGATATGTGAACCAAAATATATATACAAGAATGTTCATAGCAGCTTTATTCCTAATAGCCAAAAATCGGAAATAGTTCAAATGTCTGATAATAATAATAATGCAATACTGTTCAACAACAAAAATGCATTAACAAGAGTGACCTGCAACAGCATAGGCGATTCTCACAAGTTTACTACTGAGCCAAGGAAGCCAGACACAAAATACTACATACAATATGACTCAGTTTCAATAAAGTTCATAAACTGGCAAAACTAATCTATGACACTGTAAGTCAGGAGAGTGGTTATTCGGGGGAGTAGGGGGACATAGTTTTTGGAAGATGGCAGAAACAGCGTTCCTGCGATTCTGGCAAGATATTTTAGTTCTTAACCTTGGTGGACAGGTAATTAAAAGATGTGTTTACTTTTTGATAATTCATCAAGCTTGTCCACTTATTAGTCATGTATTTTCTATATATATATGCTACACTTCAAGGAAAAAAATTTAGTGCATGTCAAGCACTGGTATCCATAATATAGAAATATATGAAATCTCCTACAAGTCAGTAAGAAAATGATGAGAAAATGAAAAAAGAAATACAGTAAAAGATATGAGTAGCAGTTTAGAAAGGATTCAGAAAAATGGCCCATAAATATATGACAAAACAAAATAAAAAAATTGGTCAGTCTCACTAATAATTAAGAAAAAATAGAGAAAGAGAAATTAGGGGGATCATTTTATAAACTATATAAATGTCTAACCAATGTACTATATACTTGAAACTAATAAAATAAAATTTAAAAAATGAAAAAAAAAAGAAAAAGAAAACTAAAATAACAGTAAGGTAACATTTCATGTTCATCAAAATTATATGAAAAAAAATTAAGTCTGACAATTCAAAGTGCTACACAAGGTTTTAGGGAATCCAGAATAGTGTTGGTAGAATACAAAGTAATATAAATTCTTTAGAGCAATTTGGAAACATCATAAAGTTGAATACTTTAGCATAAGCATACAATTTAACAATTCTAAGGCTAGCGACCACTCAAACACTGACAAATGTGCATTAAAGGATAGGACATTCATTGCCATATTTCTTGTAAGAAAGGAAAATGGAAATAAAGTAAATAAATGTAAAATATATAGTAGAAAGGATTGACAAAGCCAAAAACTGGTTCTTTGAAAGAATAGACCTGATAGATCTATTATGAGACTATTAAAGAGTGTGTGTGTGTGTGTGTGTGTGTGTGTGTGTGTGTGTGTGTGTGTGTGTGTAGAGAGGGTGACGGGGAGGGAGGGAGGGAGATACACAGTAATAGGAATTAAAAGATAAATCTTACTGCAAAAGCTGACATTAAAAGAGATGATAAAGTTTCATGCCAGAGTATTTTGTATGTTTAATGAAACAGCAATTTACTTGAAAACAAAATCTTACCAAACTCATTCAAAAATTGAACGAACACACCATTAAAGAAATTGAATCAGGAGATGAAAACTTTCCCACAAAGCAAACTCCTGACTCAGATGGTTGTGCTGGCAAGTGCTAACAAGCTGAGCTGGGGAAAGCTTATTTCAACCTTTACTAGTGAGCCAGTGTTCCTCCATGCCAAGGACTATGTCTTATGTGCTATCGTCTGCCAGTACAGTCAAGGGGAAAGAATGGCAGAAGGCATTCAGTCTTTGGAATCAAACAGCCCTGCTGTATATTGCATAATACTGAGAAAAAGACAATATTCAATACAATGGGAGAATAATTTTAGGCATGTTCTAAGGATTAGTTATAATGTAGCTCAGAGCACCTGGTAGATGTTCGATTTTTGACGAGTAATCAAGGCTAACATTTACTGATTCAAAAAAAAAAAAGAGAGAGAATGTTTGAAAGTGAAAACACAAGGTGCAGAAAGGTGAATATAGGATGCCCTGTTTGCGTAAAAAAGAAAGGGTTAAGGTATACAGTTTCATTTGCTTCTATAGCACTATACAAGAATAATGCAAAGAACCCAGGGAACTAATAATGGTAGTCACATATTAAGGAGGGTATTATGGGCCAAGGCAAATATGGATCAGGAGTGAGAAGGTGACTTTCCAGGAGGCAACTTTTTATACTTTGTAATTATCGACTCATGTTCATGTAGTACCCAGGCAAACTAATTAATCAATCTGTTAGAAAAAAGAAAAGCCAAGGATAGTCTGAAAAATAAGGATAATAGAGGGGAGGTGGTAGACACAAATAATACCAGTAATAAAATATTACAAAGGTATAATAACCATAAATTTAAAAATCAATAATTAACAGTGAGATTATCAATAGCAATTAGCTAACAGATCTCTCTTAGATACACAAATCTCTTTACCAATTCTGCCTTAAAAATAAAACTTAAAGGGAAAAGACAAGTGGATTTTAAAGAAGAGGAGAAAAAATATGAATAGGAAAATTCTCTTTATTTACCTTATACCACTTTACCGAATCCAAAGCACAACTCTTCGGGAAGTTCAGATGACATGTGAGACTGTCGTCTCTTCCAACGTGTAATATTTGTTTGTATTCATCTGGTAAATTCATTTGATTATTTCTGGAAGTACCACACCAATATTTTTCAAACACAGTTAGGTTTACATGTATTTGGTGACACATGTTTGTATTACTGGAAGAAAATAACAGATTGGAACCTTGTAAACTCAAAAATCACAAACCAAATGAGTCCATTCATCTTCAGGTATGTCTAAGTTATTTTCAAACCCTCTGCCTCAAACAAGACAAATGCATCTCACGAATCATTCATTACAAAAAGAAAAAAGTATTTGTGCAGTGGAAACACAGGACAACACCTTAAACAAGTGATCAGAATGAACATCTCCAACGAGGGGCAAGGGACATCATGCTCCTCTGAGCACTGTCTGAAGTGCACACAAACCACTGAGGAGGAGGCTCAAACACAAAATAACAGACATAATATAAAATAATTGCCTTTACTCCTTCAAAATGTCAATGTCACAAAAAACAGGTTGAGCAACTATTCCAGATAAAAAGAGATTAAAAATACATGACAGCCAAAGGCAATGCATGATCTTGGATCAGATCCTCTACTGAAAAGGAAAGAAAAAAAATTTATAAGGGTGATCATGGAGATGACTAATAAAATTAGAATATGGATTGAGAATTAGATAAAAAAAATATTATCTGATAGTTTAATTTCCTGAATGCGATTATATTGTGATTATGTAAGAGAATATTCTTGTTGATAGGAGATACACATTAAAATATTAAGGGATAAAATGACACAATGTATCCAACTCAAATGATTTGGAAAAAATGATTTAGAAAAAAATATTGTATGTAATGTTCATATATATGGAGAAAGAATAATAAGGTAAATGTGGCAAAATAGTAAATAATGGGGATTCTAGATAAAGGGTAGATGAGAGTTCTTTATCTTGCAAATTTTATGTAAATTTGAAATTATTTCAAAGTAAAAACATACAGTTTGCTATGTACCATATATGTATGTTAAAAATTTATGAAAATTCATGTTTATTTTCTCTCATGACAGATATCTATGCCTACTTTCTATGGAAGATGATTTCCCCCATTTCACAGCTTCCCAATTTAAATATTTTAAATCCAGCCCAGATGTCCAGATGCATTTGTGTGACATATAGTCTCCAGCTCTAGTTAATTTGTAACCAAGAATAAAAAAACAGGAGAGCAGACCTCCCTAAGACGTCAGCAGCTTGATCTATGTAGTGAGTGAAATTGTGGAAGGAGGCCGGGCAGATGAACTACCAGCCACTTCCGTTTGAATATCACTAAGTAATTTTGTTCCTCGAGTTGATTTGACATATGAAAATAAGGACTGTGGCATGAAGCAGTGGGACACAGGCCATCCTGGGACAAATACCACAGAAACGAAACATGGGAGGAAGACTGAAACTGCATTTCCAGAGTTCCTACTTCAGGCTGGCATGACTTTTATTGTACAGAAAAGAAAATCAAAGCTCAGAGAGGTAAAATAATTTGTTAAGCTCGTGTCCGTAAGGGAGAGTAACAAAACTGGGGCCCTGAGTAAAAATTGGGTCTACAGATATGTTTTATTTAGGACACGCACAAAACACTTCTTAAAAAGTTCCTCTCTCTCTGTCTCTCTTTGTCTCTCTCTCTCTCTCTCTCTCTCTGTCTCTCCTCCTCTCTCCGTCTTCCTCTTTCTCTCTCTCTGGAAAATGGACTTGAGCTGAATAGACTGCCACCTTTGGTGAGGCATGTTTTCCCAATCATCGCAATCCCCATCAGGCTCAATTGTCTCCCACCAGACCTGTGTCACTCACTCATTCATATTACTTTCTAGCACAGGGCTTAGCATGGGGTCTGGAACATACTTGATGCTTAGTCACTGTTAAATTTCTACAGTAGATGCCTTATAAAAAGGTACTCAAAGGAGACTTATTGCTATCTGGATGTGCCTTCCACCTATCTCAAAACCTTTTGGCATTCCAAGAAAGAAGGCAGCAATGATATTGGAATAAAAAGGCTTTGTAAGCCAGTCTGGCTTGTGGCATCATATCAGTGGAAAAAGTCAGTTTCAATAACTGACTTACAAATCTGTTGTTTCAAAATGTTTTCATTGGAAACCGCCTTGTAATAATTATAAAACTATATTTTATTATTTTCTATGCTTATTAAGAGTTTACTGAGAATTTTCCTAACAAAATTATATACATATAACTATATACTTGAGAGAAAGGGAGTGTGTTAGTTCTATTTTAAATGAGTAACTTACTTTATAATACATTGGTAAATCCCGGAGTCATTCCATGTCAGTGGGATAAACAAAATCCAGTTTTGCTCCTGGTGTATTCTAGACTGTATGTTTTTGGATACTGGAATTTTGCTAGGATATTTATACCATGTTACATATGCTCTCCCAGATGTATGTGGAGGGTATGTGCAATTAAAAGCAAAAGGCTGGTCTACTGAAGGTGTCTCATTTTGCATACTGATGTTCTTGCATTCATCTAGGAAAAGAAAGTGGAAAAATTATCATGAAAGATAAGTCTAGTGTTATTTATTTCTAGTTTTAACAAATGTCTCCATTTCGTAGCCAATTTTATTTCAGTGTTTCCTCAGCGTGAGAGTTTCCTAAAAATAGTCTGTTGATTTGAAAGCATAATTCAAAGTCCTTTGAATGTGTCCATTGGACAGAATTGGCCAGTTTCCTCCTCACAAGTCATCTTCCCCTCCTGGAATGATTCTGTACTTCCTTTCCACTGTAAAACCTTTCATTCTATCGTCCTCCATCTGGGGAAATATTTCTTTTCTGAGCCCTTCCTGTCCTGGTTTCTTTTTGTTCTGCCACCCAGTAATTTCACCCTGTCTTGAATCAAAGGTATAAGCATCTCGTCCCAAAAAGGACTATTAAAAATTTGCTCACTTTAAAGTCCTTATCTACCAAACTGCTTAGTTTTTCTTGGAATAAATTTGTTCTGTTGATGGTTCCTTTGCTTTTACCTTGGGTCACAAAATGACCCTTGTCGTATAAAATAAACAGTATTACATCCTTTTGAGCATTTTAACTCAAATCTTGACTTGCAAATTTGCCTAATCCTCTCCCTCTCCAAACTCATCTCGAAACTCAAAGGTGACATTTGGGGCTGAGCACAGGACACTTGGAAGTGAAAATCTCATTCCTTGGAATTCTGCATGGTCTGGTGGGAAGTGTAATCAGCAGGGCTTGAGGTCCCCCGCGAACCCTCAGGCTCGGAGCGGCAGGGAGGCGCACGGACCTCTGAGACCCGAGGACAAACAGAACATACCTGCTCTGATAAAAAGAGGAAGGGTGACGGACAGGCCGCACAGCAGCAGGGACACCATCCCCATATCCAGCTACAAGGAAAAGAGAAGATGGTGGGAGGGGAAGGGGCACAGCGCGGGTTTACGCTGCATCTGGACGTCAGGGACCCCAGGCCAGGCCACTGATCTTCCCTTTTTCCTAGGGAGTCCTCCACCTTTGGCCCCACATTTACCCAGACATGCCCCCAAGACTGCTCCCTCCCTTCTCCCTCCCTACTCTCAGCGCCCGACCTCCAGGATCTAGGATGGAGGCGCGATGGGGCGAGGCAGGGTAAGGTAGCAGCAGGAGCAGAGAGTCTCCTGCCCCAGGGTGCTCCGTAGCCGCCTCTATGGACGCAGTGGCACCCCCTTCTGCAATCTGTCAGGGAAGCAGTGTGTGTGTCCTACGCCCGGGGAGAGGCACGCCTCAGCCCCTGGCCCAGGTCGCGGAGCCCCAGGTCCCCACTGCACATGGCGCGAAGCCTCCTGCGCACATCCCCCGCCCCTGGATCCGCCGGACCCGCGATCTAAACAGACACCAGCTCACTGGGGAGAAGCCAGTTTAGGTCTACCTGGCAAAAAGCAGGAAAAGAAGGAAGCGCCGCGGGATGAGCAGGTAGACGCCGGCTCCACTCCTTCGCCCAGAGAGGGCGTCTGCTCCCCGCAAGGTCTCCCAGCCGGTCGGGATCCGCCTAGGAGTCCGGATATCTGGGCTCTGGGTGGCGCACATTT